GCTCAAGTGTAAACGATATAAATATCGTATTACATCTTGACATGAAAGGAATAACCTAGCCATGATTGGCGTCAATAAATTATAGATGTATCTGTACTATAGTTTGTTATCAATATATACTTGCAGTAAATTAACACCGAACATTTTCAAGTTTCGGGGCGTGAGTGTGTCCCACATAAATGAACGAAAAGCTGCATTAATTAGAACATATATAATTGTTTTTCAATGAAACCACCAATGAATGCCGGCAATTCAATATTTGATATCGTTTTAATAGCACACGCTCATCTTCCAAACTTAATCGATGAATATCAGCCGGAATCGACGATTTGTTGTTCGAGACGATGAGATTTGCGTCGCATGCCGAATAGCCACATGATTGTGTCTCTTTACATAATAGATATATGTGTAATGCACCACCATGGTCAATACAATAAACCACCACCAAATAAAGCCAAACTAATTTCCGACCTAATCAATTATTTGCGATCTATCTCTCTCACTTTGTTTGTGTGTCATTTGTTCAAATAGACCAAAATCGATTTGGCATTGAATGTTTGATCGCGAAATGAAAACCTGTTGGTTCCAGTAGAGTATAGGTTTATTTTTATCTATATACATATTTCGTACCATGAAATCAAACACTTCAACATTTGACTGATTTACGGCTGGATTGAATTGTTTGCATAACAATTTGTGTTGAGACTTCCGAATAAAGCGCTTCAATTATAAATCTTCAAATTAAACGTCTTTGTTCAGAAGTTCTGACAATAAATTAACTGAATGTAAATTTGAAGTAAATGAATGGGAAGAAGAGAAGTCATCGTAGTGTTATTTATATTCAATTTGAAGGTAGTTATTTATAATGCGATTATTGCACACCGGACCTTTGCGCGAAAGACACCAATACCAAATCAAAATATGATTAAAAGACACACCGTCATCGCCTCCATAAAATCCACTCGACTGTTTCGCTCGACATTCGAAATGGCACTTATTCCGTGACATGGCACGAAGTAAGTAAATCTTTTTAAATTAAATTTGGTTTGCTTATCCGGTGTTTAGGTAAATGAAGCGAGTGTTGTTTTTGTGATTTCTAATGTTCGTACGCCGTGATTCGAGTGAGAGTGTTATGAATGTTCGTTATTAAGTGTTCGTCACCGTCATCAACAGAGAGATACGAATGTGAGTGAGTGGCTGTATATAGATAAAGAGAAGCACAAATTAGATATTTCACCTAGTATGTCAAGTCAATAATTCACGCATACAAGTAGAAATCAGTTCGAAAAGGTTACAAGGCACAAGCACGATTTTATCGTATGTTGAAGGTGCGAAGAACAATTTCAATTTATTGATGAAGTAACTAAAACCTCATCACATCACCGAATCTGGTGTTCGTGTGCGTTCAAGAACTCAATTCACATTACGTCTCAATTCGTCGTTTGCGTCAATATGCCCATCCCCATCGACACTAACGACATACCGTTTAGCATGTCTGGCACGCACTCACATCGAAATTACATAAATAAATAAAGCCATCATAAATATTCAACAACCAAACGCGCGCTCACATTTTACTTATTCAATTTACTTAACCGTTTGTTGTATCAAACGCTTCAAAGTTTTACGAATTTTAACGGAAGAGAAATCAACTAACGTTCGAACGAAACAAAACGGAATATCAGAATAGTTGCTGATTTGTTTTGACTAATGACACACAATGTGCGTGCGCGTACCATGAAGGGATTACACAATGACTGCGAAACGAATTTTGGCTAATAAATTAAATGCGGAATTTCAAATGAAAAACAATTCAGATTCATTTTGTAAAACCCACGCACACTTGGCCGGAGTTTGAGACCGAAGAAAATGCGGAATGACAGCAATTGATAAGAACAAGAAGAAAATTAAGCTCCCTTCAAATAAACAATCCATTTTCATGAGATTTTCAGCATATTCGTTGGGAAACTTGTAAATCATGCGAACTCAAGAAGGTCATTCGAGAGAATCGAGAATCAAGATGGAAAAAAGAAATTAAGAAAAACGAAAAGAAAGCAAATTATGTTTGGAACTTAATTAAATAGAATTTTCTCTAATGAACAACATCACGTATTGTGTATAAATAGTGATGGAACATAATATCGAACAAAGAAAACATCGGGTGCACACAGTTCGTCAAATGTCAGATATATATTCAATACAGATAGATCCACTTTGCCCATTTCGATTTCACAAACAGGATGTTGAAGCATCTGAAGAGTACACTCGATATTCTATGCGCAAACACACGCACGCACATAATGATATCAACCGAGATTGGTTCAAAATCGAATGAAATCACATCAAACGCGCTCAATGTATTTTAAAATATTCTTCTTAGCTGATAAAACGAATACCAAATGTAAAAGTTTTTCACGTATTCAACAAAGCAAACAAGAGAGATCGAAACCTATTGAACCTTGAGTACAGGAAAAATATTGCTCTTCTGTGTGTGTTTGTGTGGTGAACCAGATTTACGTTTGTGACAAAGCTAAAAAAGATCGAAGATTTTTTTCCTTTTGGATTGCGTTTTTTTTACCTTACCTTTTTATGTAGATTTCCTTAAAAATATTAATGTGATACGATTTCCTGCGCTAGCTTGTTTCAATTGAATGGGCCACAAATTGGCCAACTCATCATGGCCTACGGTATTGTGACCATTTTATTTGCTTTTTTCGGTTCGAAAAGCGATTATTGTCTCATTGGATCGGTTTTACTTGTTGTTAATGTTGTTTTGTGTGTATCCAATATTTTTGTGCGTGGGAACAATCTAAGCCCCTTTGGCCGTTGTTCAAGACTTTTGAAACGATACATACGAATATATAAGATCGTGTTGTTTCGAAAAACTTTTCGCAAAAGTTTTGAACCTACAACAATCAACACACGTTCACATCGAATCTTTTTATCACATTTTCAACACTTACACATACAACAAACCAAATTACGCATCAAAAGACAAGAGTTATAGATATCTATTTTCCACCTTCTTCTTCTTCTTTGTGCCATATGTGATGCTTTTCTAACAAAGTTCATAGCACCGAGCATGAGATGGAACCTTGTTTTCCATCAAGATGCGAAAATACAAAGACTCACGTATATGCACAACAAATATAGACGTATATGCACAACTTCGTTTTGATTTTCGGCATGTATTTCAACGAGAAGAAAACGGCGCGATAGAGCAATATCACAATATATATAGATTTGTTCACTAAATGACACATTCATGTCTAATTCAACATTGGTTGGGTTTATTAAATTGTAGCAATTATTGCGTTTCGTATATTGTTTGGAATGCGACAGACAAATCGAAAATTAAACGACATCTTTAGGCATAACGATCATAGCTGCTTCGTAATTGGAAGCATACAATAAATACTATCGGCCCTTGGAATTGTCGTGTTCACACCATACCGCGTATTACATCCGAATGAAACTAGACGTGAAATAAAAAAAACAGAATATCTGACCACTTTGGGGTAATCAACTCCATCACATGTAATACATAGTGATCTTTTCATATGTACAAATAACGCTCCGCAACAGCACATTAATGTGTTTATATATGTGACATTCTTTTATGTACATTACGGCATATTTGCTGTTCAACTTTCATTACAGAGAATCAAAAGGTTTTTCTGGTAGGTTTGCATCTATGGTGTTTAATCGTAGCCACATTCCCACGACTCAACTGAATTGCGTTGCGTTTGTTCCGTCAAGTTAATTAAATCAAATGAAAATGGTTAGAAATTTTGGTATAAAAGCACGGCGTGTATGCTTTTCGTGTGCCAACATAACACCGAAAATGAAGCAAATTGTACACATTGACGCATAATTTGGTATGCCAAAAATGCTGATTCGATTTTATATATTAAAATGGAAATTCTTTAATGTTCGCATGTTCTTTAAATTGAAGCAACTCCGAAGCGTACAAACGACTGTACCGAGATGCAAAACCATTTTCATAATTAATTTACGTGGGACTTGAACCAAGGATTACGTGCATTTTCATCTAAATCATGTAAAGTTCTTATGGCTGTTGTTGCGTGGCGGTAATGATGTTGCTCTTGTAATGACACTTGCCTCGTTTTACATTCGTAAGAAAAAAGAGAGATTTTATACACTATCCATAAATGCGAATTGGTTTAACACTACCATCGTGAGATCTTTGCACTTTGTTCATCGACTTATTGTGATTTGATTCTAAATCGAATGGTTCGCGTCATACATTTTTGCGCACCAAACAGTCGCAAAACTTTTCGATATGTAATCTCAGTTTAGTTATAACAGCAGTACGCCATATAAACACACTTTGTAACAATTTACACAAAGTTTTATTTTGGTTGTTTGCTCATTCGGATGGTGCGAGGTGGGGATGAAGACAAAGGTAATTTATAAGATTGTTTTGTCTCTATATTATCGCAAGCATATCGGTAAATGCGTATACCGTTTTCGGTACAACTTAGTAACAGTAGTGTAAAACAAGTGTCGAATTGTGTTCGGGTTAGATGCCACCAATACCCAAAATCATGAGTATAATTCGCAAATTCGAAGTAAGAGGAAAAAGTACGGATGAAAAGAAAAAGTTTTCAAATCGAATGAAGCACGACAATAAATGAGAACGGAAGTTTTTGCCATTGGAGTCAGTTTACATTGCATATGCTATACATGTACTTTTTTTTCTTTTTTCAACAAAATAAAAATCAAACAATTAAAAACGGAAATGACAAAATTCACTTGCAAACGTGAAAGAAACAGACAGCCACCGAGAAATGCTAGCTGACATGTTCGGCTAAGTTTTTTTCCTCTTTATCACCCAATTTTTTTTAAATATATAAACTTTGGGACATACACGTACACACACACACACACTTATATGTGAAAACTGAAAATGACAAGAAATTGTAGGAGCTGAGGAAATAAAGAACAGAAATAGTGTAAAAAAATGCAACAAGACTTACGCTAACGAGATTGACGTTCTGAACGGCAACTGGGTCATTTAGTTCGATTTCATGTGATTTCTTCGTGTATACACTTTTTCCTGTTGCCAACCGAAGAAGATAGGATGAGCGAAGAGTTATCACTGCAAACCAAAGCACATTTCCGACAATTAAATGGCTTTTGAAAATTGGAATGTCCGAGATAGATGTAACCGTGCACACAATACACACAATATTACATAATCCAGTTTTAAATTACGATTCGATTTTTTTTTCTTTTTTACTTCGATAATTTATTTTCGTTGTTCCACTTTGCACTGACGAAAATTGTTCAACGGTGTATGTGTGTGCGATTTGTGCATAAATCGGATTTTTCTCTAGAGTTTTATTTCATCGATGAATCTGCTTGGCTTTTACCAATTTCGGTAGCGTTTGCAGCACTTTCGTGGTATATCCGCCCCAAAAATGCAACCGACAACAAATGAGTTTCAAAATTTATTATGGTTCAGCATAAAATATCCAATATCAGCGAATGTCATATGGGATAGAATCTACCACAGTTTTTCAATGTTCATACAACGTGTTTTGACACTAAAAGCATCTTACTCAAATGTATTTTTTTCCTCTCCTGTATTTACGGGGGCGTTCAATCTATTCTCTTTTTTTTATCTAACGTTTGTTTGACAGCGGAGCTTGATCTTCTTTTTTTATGATAATACATTTGCTGCACATGTATATATTTTTAACTGTTTTTTTGCACTTTAAATTTTACTTTTTTTATTCAAATGTTATTTCTTACCGCATATCATTCTTGTTGATGCTCTCGAATTTTCCGCAAAAAAATTAAATAATTTCGAACTAATGAAACCTCATCACTCAATTGATTGATCGCGAACAAACAATGAGATTAGTTGTTCACTCTACACATGAATCACATTATCATATGGCATGACAATCTGTCATTCATTTGAAATTGAATATATGTCATATGTATATGCCACGACGAGGAACGCGGTTACACTTTTGTTGAATATTTTATTATTCGAATCTATTACACACACTTCATTCGATACTGTCAAGTGAGTGTCAAGCTTTTAACTCATGTCAATGTTTCGATAACGATACACAAAATTTTATATGCACCTAAACAAACCGCCCAGCAGCATCCAACTGAAAAAATCAGATCAGCCGACAAATGTTCGAACCGAAAAAGCAACGGAACAAAATAACGGAGAAGGCAACGAAACGTGTGAAGCCATTCGGTGCTGTTGAGTGAATGGAATTGTGTAAGGTCGGTGTTGGTTCGTGGAGTCGACGCAGTAGTGCAGTAGCAGTTAGAAATATGGAGAACTTGCATCTCCATTCTAAATATGATAACATTCTCTATTTATGGTTAGTACAAACGAATCATTGATGGAAGACAGACGCGTCGAGCAATTGTATAAAAACCGTTGATAGAGTATTTGGGCTCAATCAACAGCATTGAAAGACTCATGAAAATCGCTTATAATGGGAACCATGACGGAAATACCTATATTCATTGTGTGATGCATTCGCACATGCATACACCTTCCGAAAAGCCTGCGGGAATTTCGGTCTACATCATTTGACATTTTGAAAACTAGTCATAGTCATAACCATACGACCATTTTATGAAATGGTAAAGATTTTCGAATAATATCATTCTATATAACCATTGTCGATGGAGGGATATTCTTGGAACCAATACAACGGAACATTTATGGTCTACCAAAAGACTCACATCGTTCTCTTTCCCTCTCATTCTATAGCAATTCATCCGTTATTATGGCAATGGCTAGAGAATGAGTTTTCAGCATCCGGTTGACTTTTAATTTATTTAACATTTGACCCCATGACCTATGCCAAACCAAGTTTGAATAAAGCGTTCGAACAGTTATTCGCCATCGAATGCATCTTCGTTCGACATTCTTGGCACAATGACAATGGCAAGAGAGCACGAGACGAGAGAACGAGCGAGAGAGATAGAGAGACTATTCGGCCATTCAAACAAAACAAAAGGCTCAAAACTTTAATTGAATTGAAATGCTTGTTCTGCTTGGACATTATGAATGGCTGCTAATGTGCAACACATTCTAGTTGTGCCTGTTTTTACCAGGTGCTTTTCCAAAAATGCCAATATTCGCATGCCCTTTATACATCATCTAATAAATTAAAGTGAAATGGTCAGAATAAACCTTAAGCCATAGACGAATTTTTTTATTCACAAGTTTTTTTCACTCTTCTCATTCGATAATTTGAAACTTGAAATCGGCTCATTGCTTGTTCAACCACCCAAATTGCTCACTTTATCATGTCAAAGTATATCTACATGGAATATTGAGTTCAATGCGAAAACCAAGCCAGCAGGATTCATTTCTTTTTACTTTCTGTGTCTCGCTCTGCCTATCAAATTAATCGTTTAATGACTAACACGAGTTGAAATTCGGGGCTACCTGAGAAATTATCAATGTGGAACATTATCACAAACATTGCCACCAAAACCGCAATCATGTGCCAATAAACGTACATAATTCGTGTGCATTATCATCCTCTGACTATGAACGAAAAAAAAAACAAACAACAAAAAAAAACCACCGAACTGTTTGTGCATTCGTTCGTTGCTTCTATCGTCGTTGTATTGCACGATTGAAGCGGACGATGGGGCATCGTATTACACAAATTTAATTGAGGTCGAATCATCATCTTAACTTCTATCAGTGACCAACAGATTTGTTGGTATATGATGATATCTATCATCGCTCTGGCCAATGCGATCAAAATGGACTACAGAGAACCGAACTAAATCGTTACATATTTCATATTTATGCATGAATATTTGATAAGTTCAGAAGTTATGGCGAAAGCGTATACTTTGTTTCTTTCGCTCTCTCGCTCTTGTTTTCTCTCACTCTTTGAGTGTTGCTCTTTATCTATGGATAGATGCAGATTCGCTTTAGATTTACATTGCTGTTTGCATGCTTTGTGCAACTTCTGATCGAATATCATGCGCACCCTATAATAATGGGTCTTTATCTTTATATTCACCGCAACCAATGTTTTTGTTTTCGTTTTTCTTATTCTCTCTTTTCATGCTCCGAATGGTTGTGTTCGTCTCGTGTTACGCTGGATGTGTGGCGGTGTGTGGGTACACTCACTTTATTATTATATTTTTCGGTTTACACAAAATGCGAGCATGGTGGTTGTGAACTAAGCCAAGTAATATGAACAGTGGCAACCGAAAAGCAACAGCAAAAACCAGACAAATTTATTCATAAATTCCCCGCATGAAAGATGAGTCTGCTTGTGTGCGTATAGTGACAGCTCGCTTCAGTTGGTTGTTTTTTTTTAAATACAAATAACGTTTGTTGAAATGAAACGAAATGTCTGCTTAAAAGGCTGAGCTATTTGTCATTCAAAATATATTGAAATATGTGAACGCAGAGAATGGGAAATCGTTTTGGTTTTCACGAGAAAAAAGAAGTATACACCATCCCAATGTTTGAATTGGTAAATAAAGTTCACTCGTATAGTTTTTCTCTCTCTCTCGCATAAATAAATGTGAGGAAATGAACAAGTGAGTTTATTTTGTCACAACATGTTCAATTTCTGTTATTTGGAATATGCATGTGTGCGTGTGTGTGGGTTTAACCAAGAAAATGTGATCGCTTGTAATTAAAAATAATGTGAAGGTATGCACACAGTGACGCGTATGGAAAACTAATACAAAATGTTATTTATGAAAAGAGCCAAATTGTATACAGAAAGAAAAATTGTTATTTTCATTGAGCTGAAAGTGATGCTTTTAAAAATTCTAGTTAAATAATATCGTTTTCGTGTTATTCAATATAAATGGAGCGGACTCCGTTGAAGTCTTATAAGTCATGTCGCTGGAATACTGTTTTGAAGAGGTCACTTAGTTGCCTAAATCTTTCAACTACAATGTCATTAACACACATCGGTGTTTTCGACGCACGAAGAACGTGCAGAATGAGTAAAATTTATTGTCATACACGATTTCCTGCTGCTCAGAAATATGTGATTTATTTTCATATCGTGAATTATTTATATAAATTGGTGTGGACTCATGAATAACTTCACGCTCTGACAAATTAACATATGAAAATATTTGCAATTTTTATGAGGGATGAGAGTTTTATTTTTCGTCAACTTTATAATTATTTTGATCTTGTTCGGTAAAATATTTAAAGAACAATCAACATTCATGGTGGCGAAAAATAAGGAGACAAACTTAGATAGTAATGCTCGGTAAATGTTTTATTAATGGCTTGGAAACTATGTACCAGAATGTATTTTGAAATAACGTATATTCTGTTTGAAGGTTCATTTTTATTCGCCGAGAGCATACGAATACATCCGTTCAACATTCAATAATAATTTGCCGGCACACGCACACTTAACACATCGGCAGGTTTTACTGAATGTGCATTCGAAATGTAACTTGTAAAATCGCAAGAATATAAGGAAAACAGAAAAGAGCTGAAAGTCGGATTGATCTTCAATGGGATGCACACACGACAACATTCTCAATGGATTTGATCAACGAAATAGTTTCTGGGCCATAACACAGCTGTTAAAGATAGTGCTAGCGTATTCGATAACAATAAATTATGTACTCCATTGTCTACCCAAGATAGACTTTATGATAAATGAAATCGATGGCGCATTCAAAATGCCAATCGCATATTTTATCACAGGTGGTTTGGTTGCAGAAGAACAGGTTGCACTTTTGGGAGAATCACTGTACAAATTGGAACAAGTTGGTGTGAAGGTGGTTTCGTTTAAGTTTGATGGACATCCAACCATCAGTAAAAATTCTGTGTGCTAATTATGAATTATGATAAAGAAGAACCATACTTTATGAATCTATTCGACAACAAAAGCAAAATTTGGTTGATACTAGATGCTCCACACATGTTGAAGTTAGCTAGAAATTGTTTTGGTACGCATGGGCTCTATGATGGTCATTAGGTTGGCCTAAATCTCACTATCGGAAGGGATTGTTGTTCTCCGACCGGTTTTGTTAATTTTGGTCCAAAACTAGGTAACTGGCATCATTACATTGTTTAAAGGTTGAAAAAACGACCCGACCCCGACCATATCAAAAATACCGTATAAAGCAGATTATTTTGAAATCCTATGGACCATCATTTTTAATATGGTAATTTTTTGCGCTGAATCCGAATTTGGCATTGAAATTGCTCAAAAAATGATTATTAACCAAAAAATCGCACTTTTTAATCAATTTTGTGCAAAAATTTAATGAAATTTTGATTTTTCGTCGGCGGTACCTCAATTTTAAGGCTTGATTCGGATTCAGCGCCCCAATTTACTTTAAAAATGACTATTCATACCATAATGACTGTCAAAATATATAAAAATTTCAGCAAAAGTTGTCACACATGATCAAAATTTTGCTATGTTTGATGATTTTTATCTTCGAAATCACTTTAAATTGACGCGATTCGTATTTTTTCTAATGTATATGTCTTGGAAACTCGGTATAACGCACAAAAACGCTCGGTTTAACTAAAATTTATCCAAAAATAAATGAGACTTCGGATAAACTGTATTTTATGTCAAATCGTCTCATATTGAGATTAGGTGTTTTTTGTGTGTGTACTCTCATTGTTATACCTAAAAAATTTCATCAATAACATTACTCATGATCGAAAGTATCGTTATAGAAGACGGTAATGGTTTTTGACTGTGGAATATTTAGTGGTCGATCAATAAATGCTTTTTAATTTCCATTTGAATTGTCATTGCTGTGTTTGTTCACAAACCAAAAGCACACAAATGATATTCAATAGATTAAAACGGTCTTAGTCTTATAGTATAAGACTCTTATACAATATAATCACAGTTTTCTGATCAGGGGGGGTCAAATTGACTTTGGTCTCGAGGGGGGGAGGGTATTTACATAGAAAAACTATAATAATAATTTTGGATGAGAGAAACAAACAAAAATGCGTGTTGGCGAGCTAAGCGACCCGAAATTTTGCAAATTTGACTTCAAAATCAGTGTATTTTTGCTATTGTTTATACATTTATATGGCAAATCTGAGAAAAAAAACCGGTAAATCTCCAAAAAAATTACCCGGGGGTAAATTTT